CACTCCAGGTTAATAGCAGGTTTCATTCAGAGTTGCCAAAAATAACAAGCAGTCAAAATGTTATTTATTAGTTGAATGGATAAACAAAGTATAGTACATCTATATGATGAAATATTATTTAATAACTAAAAAATAATCTATCAAGCCATGTGAATAACAAGGCTGAATCTTAAATATATACTTCTAGTGAAAGAAGTCAGTCTGAAAAGGCTAGATACTACATCATTATATTTTCATGATATCCTGAAAAAAGGCAAAACAATAGCAATAGTCAACAGATCAATGGTTGTAAGAGTTTGGAGGGAGCGGGAGAGCTAAATAGGCACAGTACGAGGAATTTTTTAGGGTGATGAAACTCTTTTGTGTGGTACTGTAATAGTAGGTGCATGACATTATGCATTTGTCAAAATCATAGAACTTCACAGCACAAAGAGTGGACCCTAATAGATACAAATTTTAAAAACCTTTTAAGGGGGCTGGACATGATGGCTTGTGCCTGTAATTCCAGCACTTTGAGAGACCAGGGGAGGAAGATCACTTAATTGCCAGGGTTTGAGACAAGCCTGGGTAGATAGTAAGACCTCCTCTCTAAGAAAAAAAAAAAATTAAATTAGTTGGGTGCAGTGACATGCGCCTGTAGTTCTAGCTACCTGGGAGGCTGAGTGGGAGGATTGCTGGAGCCCAAGTGTTCAAGGCTACATATCATGAGCTATGATTGTACCACTGCACTCACCCTGGGCCACAGAGCAAACCTTGTCTCTAAAAAACTTAAAACAAAAATAAAAGTAAATGATTTATGAGGTTGATGACTGAAAATTTCCAGAACAAAGTAATGATTCCTCAGACTGAAAGTGAAAACAGAGTGTTAAAAAGGATGAACAATAATAAATACAGAAATATGCCATGCTAAAATTTCAGTGTATCAGGGATAAAGAGAATATCTTTAAAATAACCTAAAAGATGGGCCAGATTAACTACAAAGGAGCACTCACTAGAATGACTGAGCTAAAATAAATGTGAGAACACAATGAGATATTTTCAAAGTGCTGAGAGAAAAGGATGTCAACCTAGAGTTTCATATTAAACTAAGCACTTTAAAGAGAAATGATGAAACAAAGACATTTCTAGATGCTCAAAGGTTAAGAAGAGTCAGGAATTACAGAGGTTTGCTCAAAGAGATACAAAAAGAAGAACTTAAGTCAGAAGAAAAGAGGTCCTAGAAGCCAAGAATGAAATGCAAAAAAAGATGAATATATTATTTGTTGGAATATTTAATTAACATCTGATTATGTTATGCTAAGGAAAGATAAAACTAATATTTTAAAACAAATGGTAAGGAAAATGGCAAGGTTTGGTGAAAAGCTTAAGTATACCTATATTCTCATCTTTCTGAGGAGATGAATAATAATATTGTAGACAAATCTTATGTAGACTTGAAGAGAAAATATATTTTCTTAATTTCATTTTTAATTTTTGTGGGTACATTATAGGTATATATATTTATGGATTACATGAGATATTTTGATATAGGCATGGAATGTGTAATAATCTCATCAGGGTAAATAAGGTATTCATCACCTCAAGAATTTATACCTTGTGTCACAAACAATTCAATTATACTCTTTTTTAATAATGTACAATGAAATTATTTTTGACTATAGTCACCCTGTTGTGCTAGAAATACTGGTTCTTTCTAACTATTTGTTTGTAACCATTAACCATCTCCACTTGCCACCCATTAACCATCTCCACTTACCACCCATTAACCATCTCCACTTGCCCCTGACTCCTCCACTACTGGTAATCATTGTTCTACTGTCTATTGCCATGAGTTCAATTGTTTTAATTTTTGGTTCTCACAAATAAGTGAGAATATGCACATTTTGTCTTTCTATGCCTGGCTTATTTCAATTGACACAATGATCTCCAGTTCCATTCATGTTGTTGAAATGATTGGATCTCATTCTTTATTAATCACTGAATAGTTATACTCCATTATGAATACGTACAATTTTATTGATCTATCCATCTGTTGATGAACACTTAGGTTGCTTACAAAGCATGGCTATTGTGAATAATGCTGCAATAAATATAAAAGTGCATACTTTTGATATACTGATTTCCATTATTTTTGGTACACATCTAAGAATGAGATTGCTAGATCCTATAGTAGCTCTATTATTGTTTTATGGGGGGAGCCTCTAAAGTGTTCTCCATAATGGTTGTACTAATTTACATTCTCACCAACAGTGTACAGGGTTCCCTTTTCTCTACATCCTCACCAGCATTTGTTATTGTCTGACATTTGGATGAAAGCCATTTTAACAATGGTGAGATAATATCTTATTGTAATTTTTATTTGTATTTCTCTGATCATCAATGATGCTGAGCATCTTTTCTTATACCTGTTTGGCATTTGTATATCATCATTTGAGAAATGTCTATTCAGATATTTTGCTCATGGTTTTACTGGATTATTAGATTTTCTCCTATAGAGTTTTTTGAGCTACTTATACATTCTGGTTATTCTTCCGGACCAATGTCCTGCAGAGTTTCCCCAATGTTTCCTTGTAGTAGTTTCATACTTTGAGGTGTTAGATTTAAGACTTTAATCAATTTTGATTTGATTTTTGTTTATTGCAAGAGGTAGGAGTCAGATTCATTCTTTTTCATATGGATATCCAGGTTTTACAGCACCATTTATTGAAAATACTGTCCTTTCCCCCAAAGTATGTTTTTGGCACCTTTGTCAAAAATGAGTTCGCTGAAGATGTATGGATTTACCTCTGCATTCTCCATTCTGTTCCACTGATCTGTGTGTCTGTTTTTATGGCAATACCATGCTGTTTTGGTTACTATAGCTAAGTAGCATAATTTAAGTCAGGAATGTAATTTCTCCAGTTTTGGTCTTTTTGATTGGGACAGCATTGGGTATTCTAGGTGTTTTGTCGTTCCAAATAAATTTTAAGACTTTTTTTTCTATTTCTGGGAAGAATGTCATTGATATTTTTATGGGGATTGTATTAAATCTATAGATTGATTTACACAGTATGGATGCTGTAACAATATTGATTCCATCAATAAACATAAAATATCTTCATTTTTTACATCATCGTCAATTTCTTTCATCCATGTTTTAAAGTTTTTATTGTAGAGATCTTTCAGTTCTTTGGTTAAGTTTAATTCTGGATATTTTAATTTTGTTTTATGTATAGCTATTGTAAATGAAATTACTTTCTTGATTTCTTTTTCAGATTGTTTACTGTTGGTGATATAAATGCTGCTGATTTTTGTAAGTTGATTTTGTATCCTTACAGAAAATTTATTGATTTACTGAATTTATCTATCAGTTCAAATAGTTTTTTGGTGGAGTCTTTTAAGTTTTTTCAAATATAAGACCATATCATCTGCGAACAAGGACAATTTGACTTCTTTCTTCCAATTTGGATGCCCTTTATTTTTTTTATCTTGTCTGATAGCTCTAGCTATGACTTCCAGTACTATGTTGAATAGCAGTTTTAAATTGGACATCCATGTCATGTTCCTGATCTTACAGAAAACGCTTTCAGTTTTTCCCCATTCAATATAATACTAGCTGTGGCTCTGTTGTATATGGATTCTATTATGTTGAGGTCTGTTCTTTCTATAGATAGTTTTATAAGAGTTTTTCCTCTATCATGAAGGGATATTAAATTTTATAAAATGCTTTTTGGCATCAATTGAAATGATTATATGATTTTTGTACTTCATTATGTTTATATAATGTGTCACACTGATTGATTTGCATAGGTTGAACCATTTTTGCATCCGTATAATAAATTCCACTTGGGCATAACCACTGATCTTTTTAATATGTTGTTGACTTTGGTTTGCTAATATTTTGTTGAACATTTTTACATCAATATTCATCAGTGGTATTGGCCTGTATTCATTTTTTAAATGTACCTTTGTTTGGTTTTAGTATCAAGATAGTACTGGCCTTATAGAATTAGTTTAGAAGTATTCCCAGCCAGGCACGGTGGCTCACGCCTGTAATCCCAGCACTTTGGGAGGTCGAGGCAGGTGGATCACGAGGTCAGGAGATCGAGACCATCCTGGTCAACATGGTGAAACCCCAGCTCTACTGAAAATACAAAAAATTAGCTGGGCATGGTGGCACGTGCCTGTAATCCCAGCTACTCGGGAGGCTGAGGCAGGAGAATTACCTGAACCCAGGAGGCGGAGGTTGCAGTAAGCCAAGATCACGCCATTGCACTCCAGCCTGGGTAAAAAAATAAAAATAAATGAAAAATAAAAAATATTCCCTGTTCCTTTATTTTAAGACTTTTGTAGGATTGATACTAGTTCATGTTTAAAAGTTTCATGGAACTCAGCAGTGAAGCCATCAGATGGAGGGCTTTTCTTGCTCCGGGAGACTTTATATATTATAGTTTTAATCTCATTACTTGCTATTATTGGTCTGTTCAGGTTTTAGATTTGTGATTTAATCTTGGTAGATTGTATGTGTCAAGGAAATTATCCTCTTTTTTCTAGATTTTTCTATTTATTGGCATATAGTAGCCACTAATGATCCTTTAAATTTCTGTGCTATTGGTTGTAATGTCTCATTTTTTTATCTCTGATTTTACGTACTTGGGTCTTTCCCCCTTTTTTTCCTAAGTTAGTCTGCCTATGGTTTTGTTAATTTTGCTACTCTTTCTAGAAAAATACCTTTTTTCATTGATATTTTGTACTATTTTCTTCACTTCAAATTTATTTATGCTTTGATCATTATTATTTCTCTTCTCCTCCTAATTTTGGGCTTGGCTTCCACTTGCTTTTTAGTTCTTTAAGATGTGTCACTATGTTGTTTATCTAAAGTTGGTCTTGTTTTTTTGATGTAGGCACTTACAGCTGTAAACTTCCCACTTAGTACTGCTTTTGCTTTATCCCATAGGCTTTGCTATGTTATGTTTTCATTATCACTTGCTTGAAGAAATTTTTTAATTTCTTTTTTCTTTAGTTCGTCCAACTTTATTGAAACGTGTTACAGAAAACAATTCAAATAAAAGCAGTGTCTACTGTAGAAATCTGAGTTATGTTTTACTATAAAAGAATATAAAATACACTAGTTTAAACTACAATGTAAAGGAATTTTTAAAATGAACAGTGTCTCCTCATTAAATGTTTGCATAGTTTCTTCCTAAGCACTTACAACTAGATACAGCTGTTTTAAAAATTCAAATTTTATGCTCACTTTAACATGAGAGACATTCATACTAAGGTACTGCAGCCCCTACTTTCACAGACCATTGGAAGTTAAAAGGTACTTTGTTGCTACATGAAAAAAATTCACATGTTTTTCATATCAGGGAAAATTATACTAGACTAACAGTTTTAAATGAGCAATAACTCACATATATTAGAGAGAAATCACCTCTTGCCTTACAAATAAAAAACAAAATTCTTAGACTCCCCTTCTCTGTAGAGACCATTAGCTCACTGTGAAGGCTTGAGCCTCAGTAAGTATAATTTGAGGAAAAACATAAAACAGACTTCACCACGAGAAATGGCTAAAAGAGGCATCTCCTGCAGGAAATGTCTGTGATTATTTATGTTAAACATTTAATCTTCAAGCTCCTTTTTTAAACCTACTCCATTCCTGACATCACTGAAAATGGAAAGTATAAATTTGATGGTCCTCATGTCAAGGCAGCGTTCACTGTCTCTTGATATGTTATCCCATTTACTATTGACAGTGTCTCCCATACTCCTGAAATTATTTAGAGGTTCTCTCTATGACAAACTCTTTCCCTTTTTAGCTTTAGGTATAACATTGACGTCTTTTGAAAAATGTGTTAGTAAATACTCAAGTTCTGGCCTCATTTCCTGATGTGTATAGCATGAAAGCAGGGCTGTCCTGTGTAGACTGCTTTTGCACCAACTATTTAGGAAGGTCCTTGACCTCTAAGCTTTCCTTTAGAGATTAACATTCATAGAAAACAAATTCCGTTGTCAAACACCTGTTACTAATTCAGTGCAAAGCAATACAACATGGCACAACTCCATTTGTTTTGTTTTATGTTTTGCTTTGTAGAGAAGGTGGTCTTGCTCTGTTGCCCAGTCTGGTCTCAAACTCCTGGCCTCAAGCTATCCTTCCTCTTCAGCCTCCCAAAGTATTGGGATTCCAGGTGTGAGACATGCCTGGCCCCATCTCCATTTAGGCTTTATCTCGTGCAAACTTAAAATTTAAAAAATAACTCCAGGCCTCAATGTAGATCATGAACCTACTTAAGACTCAATATGGTAAAAACTAATTTTTTGATTTTTCTAGTCTTCCTAAAAGAAGTGTAGTGGTTTTGGCTAAAGACTAATCAACATTATAGATCCAATCCATTGTCAAAGAACATAATTTCTGACCCGGTAACAAAACTATTCTGATAATCTGACACATGGCCAAGATTCTCAGACAAGAATTAAAGGCATTCTTTTGGATTCTGTCCTTTAATAACTTTCAGAGGAAAATCATGAAGAGGCTTCCAGCTTAGGCACTGATCAAAGCTTGGCAAAAATGGGCTCATTTGCAGACTTTAGGTGATGTTCCTCAACAAATTCAGCAGGCCAAAGGAGTTTTTTCACTAATGGAGCTCTCTCCACTCACTGGTCCTGTGCCAGTTTTCCATAGCTTCCTCTCCCATCATCATAGTCCTGCCTATACACATCCTGTACCTGGCCCCAAGATCGCCCACGGCCATACTGCCTGCCCTCCTTAAAGCCTGCGTCCCAATCTGTGTGAATGATTCAGTCATCCAGACGAGTTCCATTTATGTATTGCACAGCATTTTTTTGCATCTGCTCGTGAGTAATACTCCACGAAACAGAACTCACATGCTGTTTTCTTCATTTTATCTAGACCCATAATGATTTTCTTTATGTTACCACTTTTGCTGAAAGTTCATAGATTTGTTCTTCAGTTGTGTAAAAAGAAAGATTTCCAACCTATAACATACAGCTTTTCTTCAGTAATTTTTCTTGATTTTCATTGTCACTCTGGAAATGCTAGTCCTGGTACTGGCTCAGCTCCAGGTAGGTGTCGCTGCACAGCGCCTTCAGTAGGCCACTGGACATAGTGCAGAGAAGCAGATGAGATATGGAGACTCCTAGCACTGAAATTTTTTAATTTCCTTCTAAATTTCTTCTTTAATAAACCATTGGTCATTCGGTAGCATATTGTTTAATTTCCATTTGTTTGTATAGTTTCCAAAATTCCTCTTGTTATTGGTTTCTACTTTTATTCCATCATGGTCAGAGAAGATTCTTGATATTATTTCAACTTTTTTGAATTTTTTAAGATTAGTTTTGTGACCTAACTTATGGTCTATCCTTGATAATGACCCATGTACTGAGGAAAAGAATAAGTATTCTGCAGCCATTGGTTGAAATACTCTATAAATATCTACTTAGTCCATTTGGTCTATAGTGCAGATTAAGTCTGATGCTTCTTTTTTTGATTTTCTGCCTGGAAGATCTGTCAAATGCTGAAAGTGGGATGTTGAAGTCACCAGCTATTTTTTTTAATTGGAATCTATCTCTCTCTTTGGCTCTACTAATATTTGCTTTATATATCTAGGTGCTCAAGTGTTAAGTGTATATGTATTTACAATTATTATATCACTGCTGAGTTGGCCCTTTTATCATTATATAGTGACCTTCTCTGTCTCTTCTTATAGTGTATTTCTTGAAATATGTTTTCTGTGATAAAAATATAACTACTATTGCTACTCTTTCTTGGGTTTTGTTTGCATGGAGTACCTTTTCTCATGCCTTTATTTTCAGTCTACATAGTCTTTATAGGAAACGTGTGTATGTAGGCAACAGATTATCAAATTTTGCTTCCTAATTCATTCATCACTTCATGTATTTTTTAAACTGGGGATTAAAGTAAAGGTAACTAATAAAAAATACAGTCCATTTCATCAAACCAGTGCAGGAAATTAAAACACAGATTAGGAAATTATTACTAATATAACACAAGTTAGAAAAAAGTTCAAAGCAAGTTAAGAAAGAGCATAAAAAATAAGGAAAAAATGGAGGAAATAAATGCACATACACAAGTAATAAAAATAATATAAGTGATCTAAGATGAGCCATGAAAGGACAAAGTTCATCAGAGTAGAAAAATAGTCATTGAGTTCATTACATCTTTTTTCCTGACATCTCTGCTGGTGGTATCTTGACACAGAGACATGGCATGTCACTTACGTTAGCTAGGAGGGAAGGCTATCTACTATGCATTTCAGGGCCACTATAGTTCAGTGTAAATAACGTAAATATAGATCATAGAGTTTTAAGTTAGGTTTATCTAGAGAAACATTCTTGGAAAATGAAAAAAACTGATATCAAAGGTCCATTATCCCCTCCCCAGTTAGCAGTAACCAATATAATACATATTTAAATTATTAAATTGAAATTGAATAATGGCAATTGGTATACACACACACACACACACACACACACAGATACACACACATATATATGTATACTTGAGTGTCACACTAATTGTATTGCTAATACTATCAAATAATTTTCTGGATCCAGTTAAAATGTTTTTTTTAAGGTGTATTTTACCCATACTTCATCTTTCATACCTCCTGCTATTTAGTCCTATGGCTGATTATCTGTGTTTTAATGTTTATACACATATAAACATTAGCCTCTTTTGCTCATTAAATGTTATGTTCCATGGAGTCCAAATATATATACGTTTTTCTCCCTACTGCAGAGCTTTGTTCACAATGGATAACCTTTTTGTTTTTCTACAGGGAGATAATAACAGCAATGCCAGGGCTGGTGGCAGGGTGTCCACCAGAAAGCCTCATGCTCTATAAGACCTGCTCTATTTCTATAAGCAAGTACCACCATCAGAATGATTTACTTACCTTGACTCTACATGGGATTACACCCATGGGAATGAATAGACATAAAAATCCTAAATAATGGCAGTAAATTTGCCTAGAAATTATGCATGTGGGTCATGTAATGTTTGGGCATACCTTAAATTCATCATAATAGTTTTTGATATCTTTTCACAATAATTTACATAGAAAAGCACATTCAGATTTTCACATCCTCAGATAACACAATTCTGTCAAGAGAAGGATTAGTAATTCCCTTAATGATTCATTTTATATTCAACTTCACTGAATGCAGGAGTCTAGAAAAAGGTATCATTTTGCAATAAATGTCAAAAACATGTTTTATCTAAATAGCTCAACATATAGTACTCACAAAATTTAGGTAGAGATAATTTATACCTTTCTGTGGCCAAAGTCATCTATGGGTTTCCTCAATTTGCTTTTGTCTATAAAATAGACTCAATTTGCTTTACCACAGGAAGCACAAATTTGAAACAATGTTTCATAAATCTCTGTCACTGAAAATTAATCTTGAATTTACAAATACTGCTATCATCCTACGAGCTTTATGTTGCCAGCTTTGAAAATTGAGTTAGACAATATAATGATTTTCAACCTCACCTGTGAGTAAAGACAAGATGTCTAATAAAATAAGAATATATGAGCCATTCTTAAATGTCCCTAAAGATCTTAACATGTACCCTAATAGGGTTCTAAAATCCTGTTTGTCCAAACAGGGTTGCTTTAATAGAGCACTAAAGATAAGGCATTTAAATTGTGTTCATAGTTGTCTATCATAATAACTCCACTTGGTAAATTTCACACACTGTTCACATCTGTTGCATAACGTTAGGAGCTGTATAAGATCATTTAAACCTTGTTTGAGAAAATACATATTACCAAGAGTAAATTCTCTAATTTTGGATCATTGTTTCAACACTATGTACAAGTCACAAGCCCAGTATGAACTGTAATGAAATTAGACTTTATAATATATATTAAATGATTAATTGGCCAGTGTGTAGCTATTTTAAAAACTTCCACTTTAAAAATAGATGTTAGTATCTGACCTATAAAATTTTTCTTTTGCTTTATTTAACAACACTGAGTACTTATAAGTATGAGGCATTGTGCTGTGTTTTACCTATATCATTGTATTTCATTCTCACAACTCTGTAAGGCTGTTGTTCTGTTATTAGTCCCTTTTTACAGAGGAGAAAACCATGTCACTGGAAACAAATCATTCAAGATCACACAGATAGTAAATATTGGATACATTTTACTTTAACTAGTAGACTTCAGGTCTTTTTAAATTCCCCTGATTTGATTGTTACACCATGCATACATGATCAAAACATCACCCATAAATATGTACATCACCTGTAAATATGTACAATTATGCATCAATTACAAACAAAATAAAAATTTTAAACTAAAAGACTTTAGTTTTTAGAACAGTTTAAGGTTTACAGACAATTGACAGAAAGTACAGAAAATGACATACACTCTCTTGTTGCTTCTCCTTTCTCCCCCTGTACATAGCTTCACCTATTATTAAAATCGTATAATAGTATGGTACATTTGTTAGAGTTGATGATACATGACTATTAACTAAAACACATAGCTTACATTAAGGTTTACTTTTTGAGTTGTACAGTTACCCGGGACACATGCATAATATCATGTATCTGCTATTAAAGTATTACACAGAATAGTTTCACTGTCTTCAAAATTACCTGTGCTTCACATGTTCGTCACTCCTGCCAAATCCCTAGAAACCACTGATTGTTTTACTGTCTCTATAGTTTTACTTTTTTCTGAATATCGTTGGAATCATACAATATTTAGTCTTTTCAGACTGGTTTCTCTTACTAAGTAATATGTATTTAAGGTACTTCCATGTCTTTTCATGGCTGGATATCTCATTTTTTAAAATCATTTAATAAATGGTATTGAGAAAACAGGCTAGCAGTATGCAGAAAGCTGAAACCAGATGTCTTCCTTATACCTTACACAAAAATTAACTCAAGATGTATTAAAGACTTAAATGTGAGACCTAAAACCATAAAAACCCTAGAAGAAAACCTAGGCAATCATGGACAAAGACTTCATGACCAAAACACCAAAAGTAGTAGCAACCAAAGCCAAAATAGACAAACAGGATCTAATTAAACTAAAGAGCTTCTGTACAGCAAGAGAAACTATCATCAGAGTGAAGAGGCAACCTCCAGAAGGGGAGAAAATTTTTGCAATCTACTCATCTGACAAAGGGCTAATATCCAGAATCTACAAAGAACTGAAACAAATTTACAAGAAAAAAACAAACAACTCCATCAAAAAGTGAGCAAAGGATATGAACAGACACTTCTCAAAAAGAGACATTTATGCAGCCAACAAACATGAAAAAAGCTTATCATCACTGGTCATTAGAGAAATGCAAATCAAAATTGCAATGAGATACCATTGCATGCCAGTTAGAATAGTGATCATCAAAAAGTCAGGAGACAGCAGATGTTGGGGAGGATGTAGAGAAATAGGCATGCTTTTACACTGTTGCTGGGAGTATAAATTAGTTCAACCATTGTGGAACACAGTGTGGCGATTCCTCAAAGATCTAAAAATAGAAATACCATTTGACCCAGCAATCCCATTACTGGGTATATACCCAAAGGATTATAAATTGTTCTATTATAAAGACACATGCACATGTATAGTTATTGCAGCACTGTTCCCAATAGCAAAGACTTGGAACCAACCCACATGCCCATCAGTAATACACTGGATAAAGAAAATGTAGCACATATACACCATGGAATACTATGCCGCCATATAAAAGAATGAGTTCATGTCCTTGCAGGGACATAGATGAAGCTGGAAACCATCATTCTCAGCAAACTGACACAAGAACAGAAAACCAAACATCACATGTTCTCACTCATAAGTGGGAGCTGAACAATGAGAACACATGGAAACAGGGAGAGGACTATCACACACCAGGGCCTGTCAGGGGCAGGGGTCTAGGGGAGGCATAGCATTAGGAGAAATACCTCATGTAGATGATGGGGTGATGGATGTACCAAACCACCATGGCACATGGTTACCTATGTAACAAAACTGCACATTCTACACATGTACCCCAGAACTTAAAGTATAATAATAAAAAATAATAATAAATTTTAAAAATCATTGAATAATATTCCATTGCATTGCATTGCTCTATCACCAATTC